TATGGAGAGGTGTATTCGCAACAGAAAAATCTTAAAATCGTTGGTTTCCGAACGGCTTCGTTTCGAACAGACGGGCGAAGGAAAATTCCGGGAGGCACGTTCAACAGTACAACAGGTAGCACTGATAAAGCTCACTTATATTTTGTTTGGCGCAGTGGTGGTGCTGTATGGTGCTTTACTTTGCAAGTCGCACAAAAGAATCACTTGTCCACGTCTGAGTCCATTTTAACGTTCTTCACCTCCCGCGCACAAAGACTACATAATGGAGGGCAATGGCTGACATGCAGTGACGCGTGACGTTCAGACCCCGATGTGCGTATTTCAATAGCTGTTTTATTTGTCATACAAAATCAAATCTGCAGTGATGTTTCATTTTCCAAAGATAAATCTTTTTTGTTTGTTTCCGTATGGCAAGAAAAATGATACGAGCATGGGCTCCGACCCGTAATACGCGGGGGAAATTTGTATTGAATATAGGCTAGAATCGTGGCTGTAGCTGGAAGGTTTTTTGGAAGGTAGGTAAAATCCATTGATCTCCATTGTAATGGAGAGCAATGGTAAAATCCGACATTCAACCGGGAAAGCTTCCGTGAGGCATTCAGACTAGTCTCCTCTCAATAACAATTTTCCCATAGAAAAGTACATGGTGTAGGCCCCAGAAAAAAAATCGCGTACGGGCTCAGAGCACTGAATTATGGTACTTTGACTTGTATTGCAAACATTGGACGTGGGAGACCGAAGGTCAATGTTCTCCATAACCTGTTCAAGAAAGGGGCGCTGTGACGGAGCTTGACGGCTTTTATTTTGCGGGAGAATTTTAGCTTTTTAATCGTTTATTTTTTGCTTTTCTATTGGCCATCTTGGTCTTTCAACCCATTTTCATCCTTTCAGATGCTTTTGTGATATCGTGTATAAGTGAATTACTCACCAATGTTAGTCGCCAAATTTGCGACGATTTTTAAACATTTTGCATCTAATGTGCGATCGAACCATGTCGAACCTGCCACGTCGGCTATCTTTCAATTCCACGTTCCTCTCTAATTGTCAGTGATGTCACACTTCGGTACTGTGAACCAGAAAGTGCAGTGCAAACGAGTACGCGCGCGTTGGTTCACGCGCTGGTTCTCGCGCTAATGCCGTTCACACACTAATTGTGCGCGTGACGTATTCACTTCTGTACTCTAGTCCAGTTCGTAAGTGTGACGCCACTTTAGTTTAAACCACGCCCACTGCACATGCACTGCACATATAAGTAGTGGGGAGGGGCCTATTGAGCACAATTGGACCTTTTCTAAAGAAATGGGAAAAGGTCACGTATGATAAATATGAATTATGAATATGAATGAGGATAGGGTTAAACGTGGAGCACAGGTTGACCTTTGGCAGGGGTATAACAATGGATGGGGGGGTAAAATTACGGCACGGGTTGACTTTTACTGTATAGGATGAATATTGGATATATGAATATGAACATAGTGGGTTCAAAATTTTCGGCACAGTTTGCCCCTAACTCTTAACATTTTTCCCCAACACAAAAGACCCATAGCCCCAGCTGGAATCCGGACATAAACAAAGGGATTAAAGACCTTAATCCCTACACAGCAGTGCGATTGTNGATGGAGAGGTATATTCACAACAGAAAAATCTTAAAATCGTTGGTTTCCGAACGGCTTCGTTTTGAACAGATAGGCGAACGGAAATTCCGGGAGGCACATTCAACAGTGCAACAGCTAGCATCGATAAAGCTTATTCATGTATCGGCTACAGGGTTTACTAATCATACAACTACATTATTGAATGCATCTTTTGTGGAAACTGAGTTCACTCATATTTTTTTTGGCACAGTGGCGGTGCTGTATGGTGGTTTACTTTTCAAGTCGCACAAAAGAATTATTTGTTAACGTCCTTTACCTCCCGCGCACAAAGCACTATATAACGGAGAGCAATGGTTGACATGCAGTGACGCGTGACGTGCACACCCCGATGTGCGTATTTCAATAGCTGTTTTATTTGTCATACAAAATCAAATCTGCAGAGACATTTTATTTTCCAACGATGAATCGTATTTTGTTTATTCCTGTATGGCAAGAAAAATGATATGACC